AGACGGGGGCGCAGGAAGGTGGCTTCGTGTCGCGGCTGCTCTGGGTTCTGGGGTCGGCCGGTGCAGCCCCGGAAGAGTGGCGTGTGAGCTCGGGTACGAAGTGGGCTTCTCTGAGGCGGGATGACGACCGTCCACTGGCAGGGGCTGGAACGTCATGTCCCTCACAGAGCTCCCTGCCCAGCCCCGGGGGAGCTGTGGGCTCACGGTCGGTGCCCCCATCCGCACCGCTCAAACAATCCCGTCTGCAACCACGCGCTGGGAAAGCTCGCCTGGGTGGAGGCCGAGAGTCCTGGCGAGTCACCATCTCCGTCTTCTCCGGCCTCTCCTCGTCCTGGAGGAAGCGGGTCTGTTCCCGGTGAGCACAGGCGCCACACCCAAGCCCGAGGGCCCTGTGTTGGTCATGGTCCCCCGGGTGGGGAGCCCCACTGCCCTGCATGCTGGGCGTCTCTGGAAACACATGGCTCATCTGTCAGCTTAAGAGATGGTTCTCAGATGGCGAGTAGGGCACACATAACCTTTTGGAGCCACTTGCTGTGGTTTCTCTCCACAGCCAAATGGTATTGTTTGAAGAATCGCTGTGTTCCCAGCCCCACAGTCTCAGGAGATGAATCTGAAACACCGTGTTCCCTGTGGTTCAGGCGGCAGAGAACCCACCTGAAGTGGAGGAGATGCAGGTTCTATCCCTGGGTCGGGAAGATCCCCTGGAGAAGGCAATGGCACCCCACTCCAGTATTCTGGCCTGGGAAATCCCATGGACAGAGGAGCCTGGTGGGCTGCGGTCCGTGGGGTCTCAAAGAGTCGGACGTGACCGAGCGACAAAGCAACCACTGGGAGACGGGGCGTCCCACCCGCAACCACTGTGTCCGTGGCCCCGTGTCCACCAAGGCTGCGTGGGGAAGCACTCTGCCGTACTCACCGGAACTCAGGCCACATCTGCACTGGGGAAGTGTTTGCTGTGCCCACAGACCACAGATGAGCAACGGGGGGAAGCTTTGGGGGTTCAGAGAGGCACCCGTCTCCTCCTCCTGCGGCGCTGGCAAGGTCCTCTGTCCCAGGAACCCAGCGCCTCCTCAGCGCCCGCCCAGAAGGGCCTCTCCTTCCCCGCTGTGGGTCCCCGGTCCCGCCTCAGTCCTGAGAGAGCAGCTGTAGGATCCCTGCCTGCTCTCAAAACCACTGACCACACAGACACCCCGTGACTGTGCGTCTGCTTTTTTATGTCTCAGAGTTAAATCTGTTTTAAGACAGGAATCTATTTTTTTTTAAAGAAGCATGCATTTTAAAACTAGAGAAACCTGAAAACTAAACAATGCTGTAACATGTGTCCTTATCAAAACGTGAGCTATATTAGAGAACCTACTGATGCATCACAAATACTATGTGGGTGGATTTTCTTTAAGCCTGGATTGTCGATCTGAAACTCCCATAACTTTCTCTTTCAAAGAGTCAATATTCCTCTGTATTCCATGCTGACAGCTGCGAACTGATGGCTAGTGGTTATCAAATAACTGTGGATGAAAAGCGGCTACTTCAATAGATTCATCCCAACCAAGGGCTTGGGGAGGATGGATAGTTTAGATCTCAAGGCCCCAACAATAAACAAATAGCAAACCACTGTCTAAATCCCACCTTTCTGTAGCTGGAGACGGTGCCGCTCAGCTAACAACTGATTTCTGAAAGAGAATGATGAACCCTTATTACCCAGATACTCTTAAAAATCCCAAACAAGAATCCCAGGTGATTTTTACGTACACTATAGAGATGGATGACGGCGTTCTCCTCTGGCAGCTTGCAAACATTTGACTGAATCAGAAATGGCAGTCAGGCATGATTAAAGACTCTCCTGGCTTCCCAGAAATCCTCAGCCCCCACCCCACGCCCACCCCACATGGCGATCCACTTCCTGCCTCTCTACCCCTGGTGCAGGACAGATGCTGCACCCCAGTCCTCAGACTCCCCATAAACTGTTGGTAAAATCACCGAGAGGAATCCCCCGCCCCAGCCCGCGTTTGTATGTCAAGACACTGCTATTATCTTATCACAGTGGAGCAGCAAGCAGTGGTGACAGGCAGCAAGGCACAGCCTCAGATATTTCATAACAGAGTTGTTAACATCGTCTCCTTTATGGGGCTCTTTCATCTTCTCTGAATTATGTGCTGATGCCCCCCACCCCCATACACAAAGTGGCATGAAAGTCATCTGACGGTGATGAAAGTGCTCTTTAAAAATTTTTCTTCCATCGGTTTAAAAATGTTTTCTCTTGTAGCAGCCACACCAGCTTATTCACTAATGCGATTTCCTAATGTGGCTCCCATCTCACTCTGGAGCATAGGCAGGCCAGACGGCCGATGAGCCAGCAATTAGCACTTGTTGAAAGTGTCATTGTCTCCGACTGTATAAAGATGGGCCCCGGATGCTGCCGTTGGGGTCACTCCTTCACCGTCCGGTCTCTGCCAGGCATGCACAGTTGGTCTTCGGAGGGGAGAAGCTGGTCTTCGCTTTCAGGTGCCCTGTGGTACTGGCGTCTCACACAGAACCAGCACCAGCGGTGATGAGATCTAAGTTGCGTACCACCCTGAGCCAAGTGGCAAAGGCCTTAAAGCCACCCAGTCCTTGATGAAAGATTGAGCATTTCTAAAATTTATGGTTTTCGGCATGGTAGCCAAGTGGAGGTTTACACGAAATGAGGCTAGCTTCAATTGCTTTCAGATACCATGGGGGGGAAATGCATGTGCCCCCAGCTCCCTCATCAGCTCAATTCTGAATCCGTCTGAGTGCCGAATTTCTCTGCAAAAATACCATTCCGACAACGCGAGAGTGCAACACGATAGCATTTTAGAAGGTCAGAGTGGCACAAGATTGCATTGGGTTTGGAAGAATTCCGCCTGTTGCCTTCCCAAGTGGGCACCTTTGATCCTTTGTCAGGGCTGGTGGAGCTTGTGAAAGGCTAGTTTGTTGTATGTATGAATGCTGATATTATAGCCACTCCAGGGTGGGGTGGGGAGCCTGAATCTTGGGGTGAGCGGACTCTCTCGCCACTTGGGAACTCATGACAAACCCCCTGGTCCCTCTTGGGTGGGTTTGGGAGTTGCAGAATACAGTGGAAACCTGACAGATGTCCAGAAAATTCCCCAGAGCACCACCTCCACCCGCTGGCAGCATGCCAAGAATCAAGGCCCAGGTGGTACTGGCTTGGGCGGGCCAGACAAGCCCCTCAAGTCTCCCATTCATCTCTAGCAGGCACCCCGCTGCCTTCTGCCCCACACGGGTGCAGGGGACTCGGACAAGCCACTTGAACTTGGTTAGATAAACATGCCAGATGCTAAGCTAAGGGTTACTAGGAGTAACAGCTCAGTGAAAGGGAAGCGGGGTGATGCGGACTTGCGCTCATTGGACCTGGACCTGGGCCGCACAAAATCAATCTTAAAAGAAGTAGCTGAATCCCAGCACTCAGCTGGCTATCTGGGGAGCGGGCCTGGGTGAGAGGGTTGGGGAATGGACTAACCAGTTCCCGCTTGGTTCAGGTCACGCCGGGGGTTCAAACTTTGGACCCGTGGGTCTTGTCCAGTGCAGTGGACAGCCCCAGGGTCAGAACTCACACCTCCATCTCATTCCCACGCCACACCACCCGCCTCCCCAACAGGCATGTCACTTGAGTGTATTTGCCTATTAGGTTTTCAGACAAATTCAGTAAGTACCGTCCTCTTCAGAACAACCCCCAAGTCTGTTTCACAGTACTTTCCTCAAATGGTAAACACCCCAAGACCTCGCTTCTCAGAATGCCCTGGGCTTCCAGGGATTATGGGTGTAACCACAGGCACACAAACCAAGGCGTGTGGGGGTCCGTTCTCCCCCCAGCATTCTGCCGGGGCCCAGTGTGAACTCCAAGAGGAGGAGTGGGTCAGCTTTCGGGTGGGGAGGGAACTCGCTTCAGCCCCCCTCAGGGGGCTTCAGTGTTTTCCTAACCGTGACCTTATCACCCGTTATCTTTCTCTGATTCTCCTCTGCCTCCCCCCCCACCCCTCTATCACCTGATAATTAGTTGATGCAGCAAAGGCTGTGATGCACATAAATAATCAGAAGATGCCAGATAAACTGTATTGGTTTTAAATTAGAGCCGTGCCGACTGTGTCTCCTTACGAGCACCAGCCTATTATTTTTAATTATGGCTCGCAAAGCAAAGTGATTTCTTGCCGTCCTCCCAGCATCCCTGACAGCACCCTGTCGGCTCGGGTGATATGGTGCCCCGTCGGCGCACACATCCCTAGCCACAGCACCAGCTGTTACTCAAAAGGTCAGTCAGAAGTGATCAACGGCACTCATTACGACGTGCGTTTAGAAGTGGGCTGGGAGGACGTGGACCCTGAAGCTGCTGTCCCCCTGCAGGTATGGGCAGGATGTGACATTTATAAAAAGGGCTCCAGGATCCCGATCAGATTTCTGTCTCATGTCCGCAGGAGGCACGTGTATACGGCGGGGAACACGTGTATACATGCACGCCTCACACGTTTTCACACACCTCCCAAAGCCTTCCCCTCGCAGCACCGAGGGCAAAGAACAGGGACACACGTGGCCCTGGTCCTGCTTGGCTTTCTACCCACTGGCCCACGGTGAGAGCGGTGGGTTTAGTTCAGACAGAAGTCTCGTAAAAACATTTCAGTGTCTCATGACATGCGTTGCACAGTCAGGAGGTCGGATGGATTTGTTCCTGCCGGTTGGAAAGGATCCCGTCTTGCTCGCGTTGTCAGCAGAGGCATGTGATGCAACGGACTGAGAGGCGTGTTGTGTTCAAAGCCTTTTCCCGTGTGAGCTGTGAAAAGTCGCTCCGGGCGGAGTTCATGACGCGCTTTCCCAGGACCGCCCCGCCACACCTCTGGGTTCGGGGCCCCTGCTGAGCTCCAGGGGCCTCCGCAGCAGGTGGGGAGGGCGCGCCCGGTGAAGGACAGCCCCCGCCACCTGACTTTTCTCATGCACCGTTCTCGTCTCTCCTCTCTGCCCTGCAGCAACAGGGAGCCGCCACCACGGTGTACTGCGCCGTCGCCCCGGAGCTGGAGGGCCTGGGAGGGATGTACTTCAACAGCTGCTGCCGCTGCCTGCCATCAGCCGAAGCCCAGAGCGAAGACACGGCGCGGGCCCTGTGGGCACTCAGCGAGCGACTGCTCCAGGGGGCGCCCGGCGGCCCACCCGCCTAGACGGCCATCGGCTCAACACCCACCCCGCTGGACCCCGCCCCCCACCTCTCACCCCGCAGCCTCCCACGTCCCCCGACCCAGACCCACCAGAGGCCCAGGACGTAAGCGCCAGCGCGACAGAGCATGCGGCGTTAGGTACCCCTGGAAAGCAGGGCGTTGTGGGGGGAAGGGGCGGTACCCCTTGTCCGGGGCTGGGGGGCAACCCGGGTCCCTCTGCTGCCCTGACGATGGCCCGTGTGACGGTGAAGCTTCGCAGGTAGGGAGGTTCTCCGTCCCACCGCAGAAGCACGTGCAGTTCTCACCGCTCAGGGCCCCTGGAGCCTCCCACCCCGTCCCACCGGCCACCACCGCAGCCACACGCCCACGGCCACACGGTAGCCAGGAGCGGGCTGTCTCGTGTCTGGGGAAGAAAGAGCCAGTGTTTATCCTTCACGCACTCCTCCTGGAGATCACTGTTCCATCCTGACCCAGTCTGCGTCCTGGAGAGAGGCCCCTCTGGCCCTTGTTCCAGTCGAGGCTGAGGGGACACTTTGAAATGGGTGGCACAGATAGTGAGCGTGTCACAGAGCACCGGTCCACTGCCGGAGCTGCACAAAAGGTTCTTCAGATCATGACAAGCAGATCATAGCGATCACCCCCCAGACACCATGACAGGCAGGAGAGGGAGCCTTGCACCCCTAAGGGTACCCCGGATATTTGGGGGCTGGGGGATAAAAAGCCTTCATCCTTTTCATCCCTTCATCCTTCCTGCATAGTTTCAGGAAGCGACCCCGTCACAGAGGTGCACGGCCCCCCGCCTGTCTGTTCAGCGTCCTGCTTCCGCGTCCTCTTGTCCCTTCCATCCCACGCTTAATAAAAGAACATGCTTGAATATTATCACCTGAAGTTTGTCTTGTTCCTTTACATGTTTGTTTCAGTTTTCTGTTTTGTTTTTTTGTTTTTTAGAAAAGCAATCTAGAGGAAAAAATAAAGCGCTTCTTGTAGACGCCAGGAAAACACCATTCTTGTGTCTTCTCTGAGCTTGCTTTGTTTTTGTGCTTTGTGGCTGTCTGCGGGCCGAGTTGTCTCACGCGATCAGCATGCCAGCATCATATTTTCTGTTGAAGAGAGAAAGAAAGAGAAAAATGACTGTTGTTAAATTTCACCTTTAGAAGTTTTGTTATCACGCATGGTGGGTCATCTCAGTCCACCACGGTGCGTTCTCCGTGTGATGCCCGGGTTCCCGGTGAGTAGGCAGTGTCTACTGATGAGGATGGGGCGGTTTTGGGCCCTTTGCCCCTGGTCCTGCATCTCACATCTGGGCTTCCGGGCCATTCCCACAGGGATGTAGGTAGGGCCGCTTGGGCCGAGTGGAGACGGTGCTTCTGCTCACACACCAGGAAGGCAGGGGCAGGGGGCGTGTGCCACTAGTCTCCATCCCGACATTATCCGTCTTGGGCCTCTGGCTCTGTGTTCACTCAGACACCACTGCTTTCCAGGGGTCCACAGCCTGGCTATGTCCTCCCGTCTAGCTATATTCCCCCTTAACAGGATCCTTGAGGGACCTTGACCAGAGGAGGCGAGCGTCCCCCTCAACTGAGAGCTCCCTAAACCCATCGACACCGCTGGTGGGGATGTAAACCGGCTGTTCCCTGTGGGGAACAGCGTGGAGGGTCCTTAAAAAGCTAAAACCAGAGCCGCCTTACGGTCCAACAAGCCCGCTCCTGGGCATACAGCCAGACAGAACCGGAATTTCACAAGATACATGCACCCCTACATTCACAGCAGCACAAGCCAGAATAATCAAGACATGGAAGCCACTTAAATGTCCATCCGGAGAGGAGCGGGTGAAGATGAGAAAAGAGTACTACTCAGCCATAAAAGAAGAATGAAAGAAGGCCATTTGCTGCACCGTGGATGGACCTAGAGATTATCCGCCTAAGTGAAGTCAGTCAGACAGACACCATACATCACATCACTTACAGGTAGAATCTAAAATATGAGACAGATAAACTTATTTATAAAACAGACTCACAGAAAGCAAACTTGTGGTTACAAAAGGGTAGGAAGAGGTGCTGGGAGAGAGAAATTAGGAGTCTGAGATTAGCAGATACACACTACCATGTTTAAATAGACAAGGTCCTACCTACTGTATAACACAGGGACTATATTCAATATTTTGTAATAAACTAGAGTAGAAAAGTGTATATATATACCTGAATCACCTTGCTATACACTAGAAACTAACAACACTGTAAATTAACTATATTTCAGTGAAAAGCCAAGTCACCCAGACCAAGTCTTCATACAGTCATGCACCCAACAGACATACACCAAGCACCACATTACGGAAATTCAAAGTTTAGGGTGACACCCCCACCACAGTTAGAGCCATAAAATGTCTAGATCCTGGGTCTGTAGGAGTGTTCACAGCACCCAAGGTCATCATTGACTTGACCAGAAGTTCTCCAGGTTGCTTGATCACCAGAGACCCCGCCCAGAACAAAAACAGGCCTCCTCTCTCCCCTCATGCCCTGAGTCCATGGGGTCAGACGGTGCCAGTCCCCGTGGGTCATTGTTCCTGTCAGACACATCTCACCTCCTTGGCTGATGCTGTGGGTTTCTTCCTGGGCAGGTGAGTAAGTGTTCAGCAGAAAGCCTCACTCCTTTCTGGTTTTTTTGCTTATGTAAGCCCAGGATTATTGGTCACCATCTGTCATGGTGTGTATATATAGACACATCACACACACATACACACAGAAACACACATATTTGTGTTATATGTATGTGTAACACACACATGTAATACATGTGTATATATTAGTATATGTACACATACATGTGTGTGTATATATGTGTGTAATATAAACCTATTCTTCCACACTACTGCTATTGCACTAATCACTACTGCTATTTGCAGATACTATTGGTTATGCGCCAGTTGCCCCTCTGTGGCCCCCCACCCCAGCAAGATGATATGTGAGGACTCCACTCAAATAACTGAAAACAGGATAGTTGAGGGAGAAGGGGAGACAACAGAAGGGCGTGAACCCCAATAGTAGGGAGCCTTGCGTGGTAATAAACAGCCAAAAACCTGCCAAAGTCACGGCCACCCTCTTTCTCTGTGTTCTGACAACGAGACTGACAGAGCGACCTGCCCACAGCCCCCGGCTGGGGACCACAGGAGCAGAGTCAGCCTGCGGGTCCAGGACGATGGTCTGCAAGCCCCTGTTCCTTCCAGTGCAGGGTGCCTGCAGACCCCCGTACACGTTCCATGAATGAATGGATCCAGGGGGACTGATTCACAAAGCAAGGCTGACCTCCTGTCCGGGCCGGGGCCTGGTTCTCCTCGCGGTACCCCGCGTCGAGGGCAAACCCTGCCGTTCTGTCTGTGCCCTTCACCTGGCAGCACTGGCCCAGCCGCGCAGACCTCCTCTCCTGCTCTGGCTCTGAGCAGGTCTGCGCCCAGCTTCCCTCCCCGGGTGTGGCCTCCAGGGGACTCAGTGGCCAGCGTCTTGCATCGTGGCACCAGGGCCACGGCCTCCACCCAGGCCAGCGAGAGGGAGCCGGTCCCCACCGGCTTCTCCAACGAGCTGCTCCCTCTCCCTGTGTCTTGACACCCAGAGGCCACCGGCGTCCACGTGCACGGCTCACGCAGGGACGGCTTTCTGCCGCTGATCAATAGGAAACAAGAAACTGAAGCAGCCACGGCAGTGACTGAAGTGTGGCTTGTGGTTTTGCTCTTTAAAATGGGGTGACGGGTGGTTTTGTTTTGAACCTCCATGAAGGGGGCCTGGCTGCTTTCATTAAGGTCAGCGCTGGGCCCCAAAGCCCGGCTCTCAAAGTGACTGCACGTTCGGGCCCCCAGCAGGCACCACGTTGAGAGGTTCACTTTCTACGTCAATGTTGATTGAAGTGCAGTTGCTTGGCAGTGGAGTGTTACTTTCTGCTGTATGACATAGTGAATCAGCTCTAGACGTAGACATACATATATCTCCCCAAAGAAATTTACATTGTTAAAAAAGCGTCTAAAATAGCAGCATTATACAAATGAACTTTCTTTCTGATCCTTGAAACCAAATTTATGGAAATTCATGGTTACTAAAGGGAAGCAGAAGCAGAGGACAGATGAAGAGGTTGGGACTGACATCCACACTACTACATGTAAACAGATAACTGACCAGGTCCTGGCATAGAGCACAAGGAACTGTACTCAGTAACTCCATAATGACCTACATCGGAAAAGAATCCGAAATAGAGTGGATGTATGTATATGTGTAACTGATTCACTTTGTTCTACACCTGAAACTAATACAACATTGTAAATAACTATATTCCAATAAAATTAAAAACAAAAAAAAACTTGTAAAATTAATTCTAAGGAAAAAATAGCAATATTTACTCTGGTAACTTTTTGTGCCTCTCCACATATCCAAACTAGTTTGAATTCATTTTAGAATAATAAACAATATCACAAAATATTATCCACATGATGACTGAAAAAAACTTCTCTGAATTCTACTTGATGAGATGCTCAGTCAGATACCACTATCCGAACAGAGATTTTTCAGTTCTGTTTATTACTTTTCAAAGCTTCACTGTATTTGGTTTCACACCCTTGTTTTATCTCCCCCCAAATCACTTTCTTTCTCTATTGTCAGTTGTTTTAATGGAGTCCTCCTGTGTCATCTTGCTGGGTGGGGGGCGTCACTGGGAACCCCTTGCTCTGGGACATTCAGGCTATTTCTAGCTTTGCTGTTAGAACTAATGGTGCAACTAGCATCTGTCTTCATACAGTTCTTCCCTTCCTTCTGTGGACTGTCCTCCCCAGCATTCACAGGCACCCCTGAAGCTCGTGGGTCTAACAGCTCTTGTTTGGCTTTTCCTGCTTACTTCCATGTGCGATGTGGAAGGGTTACAGCCAGCAGAAGGTACACATTTCTGGGAGGTTGTTCTTGGTGTGTGTGTGTGTGTGTGTGTGTGTGTGTAACATCCTCATCAGCCCTGGGTGTTGGTGTTTATTTTTTTTTTAAACATTTTCACTTCCTATTGTCACAGTTTATAACCACTTACATAAAATACCCCTAAGCAACCAGTCTCCTTATTTAAAGTACAAGCATTTTGTCTTTTGTTCTCCCACTGGGCCAAGTTCACGGTTGTAATTAGAATGGACATTTTAGGTGAGTCTGCATTCTCTCTGGGCAGGAGAACATCAGCCACGCCAGGACATCTTTATCCCATGACTCCAGCAGTAAGCGTCCTGCCTCTGGTACCTTTTCATCACCAACGCTAGCACAACCTGGGCCCCATCTGCATGCCGGCCCAAACCAGAACGGCTCCTTCTGGCTTACGTACTAACCCCCTGGCTGAAGTGCGGCCTGCTTCTAGGCGTCACACTGCTGGGAAAGACTGTCTCCTAAACTGATCTGTTTCCAAGGCCAGTTCCTGCTGCATCTTCAGTGTAAGAGAATAAAAGCTTCATTTTCAAAATAGGTCTGTGCAGACAGACCCTTCACCACTCACTCAGATGAAAGAGGCTCCATGCCTTCCTCCAGCTTCTCCTGGTTTTATCTGAGGTTCACTAGGGGCTGGCTGTTTTAATTTGGAATCATGACAGTTTCTCACTGGATGTTGGGGCTCTTAGGTGAGAAAGTCCACTTTGATAAAGTATCGTTTCCTGAGTCCTCACCAGTACTTTGTGCAAAACACATAGGCTGAAATGCTGTTTTTGCTCATTTAAACCTCACAAGTTTTGAAGAAATGTCATTGTCCCCTTTTTTACCAGTGAGGAAAATATTTCAATCAAATATTTCCAGGAGGCAGATGGCTCCTTTCCAGGGTAAAGTGATTGGAGATTCATCCCTCTGGACTGAAACTCCAAGACACGAAAAGCAGGACAATTCAGGGAGAAGGCTGGGCCCAGCCCAGCCATTTCTCGTTTTGGAAGTTAGGAGACCTCCCCCAACCACACATGCGCAGAAGGTTCGTTGGAGGCCAAACAGGAGTCATGTCAAGGGATGTTCTACCCAGACGCCTTTTCAGTAAAATCCATCTTGGCTAAGAGATGGGTGTGCATGCAAGGGAGGATCCTGAGATATACCAGATACAGACTGTGAACCAGGCACATCAGAATGATTGGCCAAAGGAAACCCGGAAGAAATACCCCATAAAAGTAATGCGCACTGCCACGAGGGTGCGACTCAGGGCCTGTCCCTCTGAGTCGGCCTGTGTGTCTGTCCAGCGTCCTACACTCTTTTTCTCCTCTTAATGACACTTTGTTTCACTACTGTCTGTCTTTGTGGGGATTCCTTCCTGCATAGTGGAAGGTGCGGGCCCTTGTCACTGACTGCCGCTGTATACCAGGCTGGGATCCGGTGCTTTCACCGCCGTGACACGGCCCATCTCAGGCTGGGGACCCAAGACGCGCTCCAAGCCTTCGCAGGCCGAGGCCACCTGAGATCAGGGCCACCACTTCCTGTGTGATGTCCCGGTCACTTGGCCTCTCTGAGCCCCTGTGTCCCGACCCCAAGATGCATTTGCAGTTTCTCTTACCCCTCCAACTTCATCTCTCCCTTGTTTTACTTTCTATGTACACACTCGTTTAGATTTTTTCTAAGCTGAACAAATGGGTGTTCATTAGTAATCCACTCAAATATAGTTTTATTCTTTCTCTATACTCTTTAAATATGACTTGTGAGATTGGTTGAAGGTGGGGGTAGGTCTATCATTGTATTTAAACACAGTTGTTCTTGGAAATAATTGCTGAGTAATAATTTTTTTTCTACAAGATGTATTATTGTTGCTGTTTTCATTAGAAAGTTGAAATGTACGTTCAGCATTTAAACTTGGGGGGAAAACATCAGGAAAACAAATATTCCCACAGTCTCACCCCTCAACGACAACCACTGTGACTGTTCTGATGTATGTATTCCCTTTCTCTCTTTTTAAAAAATGCAATCGAGTTTATTTGTATCTTTTCAGTTATATATAATGCAATTATACTCCACATACCGTTTTATATATTTTAAAGTAAATAAATTCTGGATACATCTTCTACTACCCTTATGATCCTGATTTCAGCAAACAGGTACAGGATAGTTACCTAAGCCTTTCACTGTTTCTGGAGAGCTGTTTCCCTAATTACTGTATTTTCATTAATATGTATAATGCTTTAATAAACAAGTGCATAAGATTTGGGGAGACCAATTTGATTTATTTCTTACCATGGGCTCCAAAGAGAATTATTTGGAACCCTACATTGCTTGTAGGGTCAAACAACGGGGGTGTTTTTAAGCCTCTGGGTTACCTCCTGTGGGGAAGCCTTTTCCGGCTGCCCACAGGGCTGGTTTTGATCTCTGCCCAGAGTCTCCTGGAGCAGGGCAGGGGCGTGCTGGCGGTTGGTTTATTTTGCCCCGATACTCTGCCTGTCTGGAGCTTGGCGGCCTTTTTCTCAGGGCTGGCCGTGTGAGCTTCCCGGGATAGAAAGCTCCTGCTTCCGCAACCAGGACAGGAGAGGGCAGGAGCGGTGTCAGCGAAACCCGAAAGGGCTGACCGCGGCAGAACCCAGCTCAACTCTGGGTCAGCCGGTTTTGCCAGCCTTTGAAGCCATCACAGGGTTCACTGTGCGGCTGTTTCGGGACCCACTGAGCAAGTCTGAGGACTGTCTTGGCCAGGACGGCATGTGTTCAGACTTCGTGGCGTGGTTCACTGAGGCAGGGCTGGCCTCTCAGACTCGGTCCTGGGGGAGCGTTACCTGGTGCGGCCTAGATGTGAAGGGCTGATGATGAAGCCCCAGCTTTTCACTGTCACTAGTGGCTGCCTTCAAGCTCATTTCAGGGACAGAGGCTAAATTCCTTCTTGGATGATTTTGGGAAAATTTCCGTCAGACCATCTCATTTCCTGAACAAGATTTCAGAACCTTCTAGAAGCCTGTATAAATCTCCCTAAATATCCCCAAAGCCTTCACAGCTTCAGCACACTCTCAGAATATAGAAGTAAAAGGCACGGGAAAAAAGCCACATATAGACAGGTAGGTAGATATGATCTCAATTGAACAACTGGCATTATTAGTAATTATATTAAGAAGTACTATTTAAAATAAAATCACAGTAAGCATTATTAGTAATACAAACTCCAGACCCCTTGACCTAGAAATTCAAGTTCTAAATTTTAGAGCTCTGAAGCAGGGCAGTTCTCCCAGTCTGCATAGATGATAGGTGTGTATGTGTGACTGTGTATATATGTGTGTGTATATCAGGAGTTTGGGAATTCAAAAACTCCATTAACCTGTTAATGGATCTGAGAAGTACGGTTACTAAAAGTGATTTAAATATGTTTAATTTAAAATGTTTTGAACACAGGCCACTGGTTTTTGTTTTTGTTTTTTAAGATAGTGTTTTGTTAACAGGGCATTGCTTTCCAGGATATAGAGACGTGTTTTTCTTAGAGCAATGATAAATAATAATAACAACAACAATGACAACAATAAACAACTGAGGTCAATTTAAATGTCCAACAGTTGGGGTCGGGGCTCTCTGACTACCATGGTATTATGGGAGAAATTTAATTAAGTGGAAAGTTGTTTTTAACATATTAAGTGAAAGATGTAGGTTATAAAAGTCTATAAGGTACTGTGTTTCTGTGCATGTAAATTACATATTGCGAGAGAGCTGTGAGGGGTTAACAGTGGTCGTCTCTGGGCGGGGGACACATACGTGCCTTTTCCTCTTTATTCCTATCCGTATTCCTGCATTTTCTACAATGGAAGTATGCCCAATACCATTCTAAAAGTGAAGGTTACACAGCAGAGAACCAGCGCTTGTAAGACGTGCCGGTCGCCTCTGGCAGCGTTCCGGCTCGGCTGTGCGCTGACTGGGGCCCGTGACTGACCCTCCAGAAGGTTCTCGGGCTGATGCACTGACGCCAGCGCAAGGGCCTTCGAGTTCCACAGGGAGAGGGCGGGGCGTCCGAGGCCTCATCCCGCAGGGAGAAGGAAGCGGGTGTGAGCGAGTCCTGCGGTCTCTCGGCAGTGCTGTCCGCACTGCTCCTCGCGTGGTGCGTGCAGAGGCGCCCCTCCGGCGGCTTGGGCCGGGTCAGCTTTCCACAGGCGCCCTGCCCCCACGGCGGCCATGACGCTGCCAGGGGCGGGGTGCCTTACCTCCCGCCTCAGCACTCCCGTCAACCGCGCGCGCCCACACCCAGCCCCTGCAGAACCCAGACCGCGCGCGGACGCCAAGTCCCTTTCCACTTTCTGTTTTATTATTGCTTGCTAAAAGTTGGACCGAAATGATAAACGGAAGTATTGATTTTGTTTATCTCCCTGACCTCTGTCAACACAAAGTTTTAAGAAAACAGACTGTTAGGAAAGTAAAGTTATATGTCTTACGTTATTCTAAACACATAGACTCACCCAGAAACCTTAAGGGAAGTATTCACACCTCCAGAGAAGTTGTACAGGTGGCCAAAAGGCACATGGAAAGCTGTTCAACATCACTGATTACCAGAGGAATGCATTCCCACCACAGTCAGGACGGCCATCATCAACACGTCTGCAGGCAGTAAGTGCTGGGCCGGCTGTGGAGAAAAAGGGGCCCTCCCGCACTCCCGGTGGGGATGTACGTTGGTACAACCACTGTGGAGAACTGTACGGAGTTCCATAAAAAACTAAGAGCTACCATACCATCCAGCAATCCCACTCCTGGGCATATATCAAAAAACAAAAAGCTGATTTGAAAAGGTACACACACTTCTAAAGTCCATAGCAGTACTATTTATGGCGGCCAAGACATGGAGGCGACCTCCATGGCCATCACAGAGAAATGGATAAAGAAGACACAGTACACGTATACAATGGACTATCACTCAGCCATAACAGAGAACAAAATAATGCCACTTGCAGCAACCCAGTTGGACCTAGAGATTATCATACCACGTGAAGTTAAGGCAGACAAAGACCAATACCATGTGATACCACTTACATGGAGAATCTAAAAAATGCTACAGATGAACTTTTTTCCCCACAAAACATGAGTAGACTCACAGACATAGAAAAGAAACTTATGGTTACCAAAGGGGAAAGTGGGGAGGAGGGGAAGGATAGATTAGGAATTTGGAATTCATGGATACACACTACTATACATATAATAGATAACTGACAAGGACCTACTGTATATGTCACAGGGAACTATATTCAATACCTTGTAATATATAATGGAAAAGAATATGAAAAAGAATATATATATAGGAAATTATATAACTGAATCACTTTGTTGTATACCTGAGACTAACAGCACTGTAAATCAACTATACTTCAATTTGTAAAAATTTTGAGTTTTGTTCCTTTCTAGTTGGGAAGACAGTATACAAAGTACAGCATCTACCAAGAAAATATGAATAAGAAAACCATCAAACTAACTCCTCCACCCACTTTGGGTCTAAATAAGAACACCACCAGTGTGATCCCCTGGTACTTGCACCACAAGCTTCATCAATAAAAGCCAGGGGAAGTGGCTTCACCAGACCTTTCTCTGACTCCATCACTCCACGTCACGGTGGAAGGTGCTTCCAGACTTGCGGTGAGACAGGCCTTCAGTTCACCTTCTCCTGGAAGGAGCTGATTTCTGCAGCTCTGAGCTGGAGGCAGCCCGCCTGTTAAATTTCACTCAGTTTTTATAGGTCTTTTGCATGCAGTGTTAAGCACACAGCCCTACCATCTAATTAAAAGACTCTTATCAATTTGCAGGATAGTTGCTTATGGGAAAAAAATAATAAACACACGACACCGAGGTAAACATCAATCACCCACTGAGAATGTTAGCATTTAATCCTATGCTTCCTGAAGAATGTGCAGAGAGGCGCTCGCTTTGAGAAACATCCCTGTTAACTTTTTGGAACTGAATTGCAGAGGACCTTTCTGAGAACGGGACGCAGGAGGAGGCGACGACAAAGGGAGGTCTTTCCAGCACTCTGGTTCAGCTGTGACTTCTGTCCTTTGGCCTGGCTTCTGTAGGTGCCACTGGCAGTGGCACAAAGAACACATGTGGTTCTTTTTGAAAATGAAAGATTCAGTCAAGCCTGGGACAGCGGTTAATAGAGGCTTGTAATGGATGTCAGTTTCCCATCATGGAGTGGCCTTTCTGAATCTAACACCCTAGGCTGAGAGGCCAGCTTCCCTGGACAAATTACACTTATATAACAGCAAGATGGGCCCCTGAGATCCACGGATGCACTTTTCTGAGGGGGTGAGTGTAAAGTCAAGGTTGCACATGTTACTGACTCCCCCCCGCCTCCAAGTAATGTCTTTTTCTAATGCTGTGGGGTAGGCACGCCTTCTGTCATGTTTCTTTGCCCCAAATTTACAATTGTCACTCCTCGAAAATTGGCTGCAGTTTGTCAGGCTGGTCTGGTTCAAATACCTATTTTAAAAATCATCCCCAAAGCAAATTAAAATCAGAAATGTCATGTTCTTTCGCGCAGTCACATTAGTCTGACCTCTGGGAACACGGGGAAAAGTAGCTTCCAGGCAGAATAGGAGGAACAGTGAAGGCGATGTCACCTCCTGGATGTGAAAACCAGACAGACGCCTCCCCCCAGACCCCGCCTCCAGACTTGCTCTGTGCCAGCAGACTCTTCTGGGACAGGATACTGGCACGCCCCAAGCCCAGCATGGTTGGGAGATCATTTAATGACCTGGCTGAGGATGGGGTGGGACATGGCGCCATTTTGGTGTTCCAACCTGGTTTCTAGGGGGGACAGTGGATGTAAGTTCTGGCTGCATTTTATTTTCTAAGCTAATATCAGATGTGCACCAGGAGAAGGCATTAGAGGAGTGTGGTCTAGGCCCTAAAAGCTGGCAGAAGTGAAAGTAAAATGACCTACACCGTGGGACAGAAGACGGAGGTCTCAGCAGCAAGCACAGAGGGAAAACACTTTGCCCGTTTGATTTGAGTGTGATTTTTGTCTATGTATTATTGTGTGTCTATCAGACATCAGCCTGCCTGTCTTTCTGTCTACTGGCTCACTTTAACACAGCAAAGAAAGGACTATTTATACTGTCAAAAGAGAGCAGGAAAAAAAGTATTATAATGGTGTTAAGATAACCAGGTAGACAATATATGTGTAAAAAAGACAAAATGCACTGAGATCTACTAAAATGTATGTGTTGGCAAGGTATGAACATGGGGAGACAGGAATCTAGGCTAATGTCCTTCCTACTCTCACACTCGCTTTAAACTTTTCTATATGTACAGACTTTGTATGAGAACATCTCCATGTTATTAACTGCTCTTCTGGTGGAATTAATATTCCAGGATTTGGATGTTCCCTAATTAACTTGACAATCTCCCTATTATAGAAAGAAAGCTGGAGTCCTGATACAGTCCAATATCCAGTCTAGACCATGGAGAAGTTAACTGAGAAGGCTCTTAGAAGCACGTTTAACCCAACATTAGGCACAGGTTTGGGGCTTAAGCCTTCCCTGCCTGGCACCCATGCCACACGACTCTGTGTGAGGTTTGGTAAAAATCACATAAATGAAAATACCAAAATATCCAGATAAACATGCCCAGAGTTATTCTCTATGGCACTCTATGATCATGCAGCCAAGCTTTCCCTACAAACTGACCCCTATATTTGATAGGATTAGACACAGCAGAAATCTCAGAAATAACACTCCAGTTCAATAACACTTGGAAAAGTGTTACCATAAAGACAGGCCATTCTTAGTTTTCATGAAGTGAAGAAGGATCTTTGCCTAAATAATGGAAAATCAATGCAGTATATT